GGGCAGCTGGGCCAGGCCCCCCCCGCTGGCGCGCAGCCGTCGGTCGGCTTGCCAGGGGCAGCACAGCAGCCTCTTGTAGGCCTTCCGAAAGTCGGGGCTGCGGCAGTAGATGATGGGGTTGAAAGCAGAGTTGGCGTAGCCCAGCCAGTTGAAGAAAACGAAGAGCCCGTCCGGCACCAGGTCCCTGTTGAAGACGTTGACAATGTTCACCAGGAAGAAAGGGAGCCAGCAGAGCGTGAACACCCCCATGATGATTCCCAAAGTCTTGAGGGCTTTCTGCTCCTTCATGGCCATGGTGTGGGAGGTTTTCCGCTTGTTGGCTCGGCCGTTGCCGACCACGAGCTGGTGATGGAGGTGAAGGGGCTGGGGTGGCTGTGGCTCCGTGTGGGCGTTATAGAACCGGCCCTCGCACCTGTCGATCTTCCTGATCTGCTCCCTGGCCTCCCTGTACACCCGGAGGTACACAAAGATCATGATGAGGAGAGGGATGTAGAAAGAAATTATGGACGAGGCGATGGCATAAGCCCTGTTGGTGACAAAGTCGCAGCAGCCGGGGTCCTGGTAGCACTGCAGTGCCTCCGGGTCCTCGTCCCGCCACCAGTGCATCATGATGGGCAAGAAGGAGACCAAAGCCGAGATGGCCCAGACGGTGCAGATGATCCCCTTGGCCCGAGCCCTGGTCATGAGGCTCTGGTAGCGGAAAGGCGAGGTGATGGCCAGGTAGCGGTCGATGGCGATGACGCACAAGGTCTCGATGCTGGCCGTCACGCAGAGCACATCCAAGGAGGTCCAGCACTCGCAGAGGAAGGATCCCCAGAGCCAGGTGCCCCGCACCACCAGCGTGGCCCCGAAAGGCACCACCAGCAGCCCCATCACCAGGTCGGCGCAGGCCAGCGAGGTGATGAACATGTTGGTGAGGGTCTGCAGCCTCTGCGTCAGCCCGATGGCCGCGATCACCAGCACGTTACCGGCCACGATCAGCAGCACCACCAGGGCCATCAGCAGGCTCATCCCCACCACCCACTGCTGCGACAGCACCTCGGCTCC